GAACTGGATTCCAGATCTGCATTCAGGATCGGGATCACAGGCAGACGAACAGAGTCCTCCTCAGACGTCGGCCATTGAAGGAAGAGAGAGCTGACCCTTTGATCCCTCAGCCTTTATACTGAGCATGAGGCAGATGGGATGGAATACCCTCATTGGTCAGTTTTGGTTCACCTCCTCCCTGCAGGTGGGACCCCACTATGCTTTTCCGCTTCCGACCCTCCAACGGGGTAAATAACAAAGTTGGTTGGCCTTGGTTGTTATAGCAGTAAGTATAAGCAAGGTCCTCTCTGCATACCATGCCTGGGCATCACCTATAAACATAGGTCTTATCACTCTGAGAGAGTGAATATTGTTTGCACAATATGCTGTTAATTTCAGTAGTTAGAGAGGCCCAGCTAAGAAGCGAAGTTACTGACCAAAATTGGTTCTGTTTTACCTCAAACCAGGACAATAATGCTCGTTTATTAATGGATGTAGATTCAGTTAGACATGCTACTTTACAGAACCGCGCTTTATACCATGCCTTTTACAATGTACGCAGACAATGGTAGAAAAATCAATAAACACAGTGCTGATTGTTCAACAAAACAAAAAAGGGGGATATGTGGGGACTGAGGCAAAAGAAGGGTCAAGTGTGGTAGAACTCATAGGGAGGAATAAGCAGCTACAGCACTGTTCTGGCAGACGAGGAAGTTGTGTGAAGCTACTCCCTAGATAAGGAGGTGCTGCTCACAGGGAAGAGAGATTCCCTTCTTAGTGGGAACGTGATCTCTTAGAGTACGCAATGGTGTAAACAAGTAAAGTAGAAAATTACTGGCCTTGGTAGAAAAGTATATAAAGAACACACTTGCTTAATAAAGCTGTTTTCGATCCTGCATATCGGAGTCCGTGTCTTTCAATCGCCACAGTCTTTATGTAAATGGTTTTACATTTGAATTTCCTGCTGCTTTTCTGTTTCTGTCCTTAGCTTGAGATGGTGGCTGACACTTATCTTACTTTCCTTTTAAGGTAGCTTTTCTAGACTGGGAAAGCTGATAGGCTGAGGAGTCTTGGATGGGAATCTTTGGAAAAGCAAACTTATCTTGAGGGAACTCCCTGCATCTCTGGGATACTATTGGTAGCCCTGGAGAACAGCCTTTGCTCATCATTTTATATGCTCCTTCAAACAGATACAGTACATAATGACTGGCAGCAGATAACAGATTATGCAAGCAGCTTGTAGAGGCTGCCTTATGATCTTGCTACTCTGAAGCTCTTCAGTCAGGGCTAATGTTGTGCCACACATTTTGTGAATGCCCCAGGGGCTAGGTCTGTACCGTCTGGTCTTCATTGTATCATCAGTAATTATGACCTGAAAAAAACCCATGTTGTTGACAAACTGTAGGGTTCAGTACAGTGTTCATGATGCCACTCTGGACTGGTAGTTTTATTCATAGGAAACCATTCAAAGTGAATGTGATTGTCTCATGAGGAATGGGAAATATATGGCTGAAAAATGCTTATGTAGATTCCCCTTTTCTTACAAGGAATCTTCTAGGTAATATTCCTTTGATTCCCTACATCTGTGAAATTCTTAGCTGCAAACCCTATCACTTCTGTATTGCTCAGCTATTGAACATTGGAGGAAGGCAGTGGGGAGTAAATTACTACCTAGGCCACAGGACAATGTAAGTGGGAGCTCAGTTAAAGCACTGGGCTATTGAGAGAACAAGTTGCTTTGTTGCATTCTTGATTCATCTTTATTTATTTATTTATTTATGATACTAGTTTGATAATTTGATTAGAAATACTCAGTGAAGATCTTTGGACATTAACATGTACCAGAAATATAGCATAGTAAGACATGTAGCAGAGCACATTGCCAATCTCAGTTCAGAGTTACTGTTCAACAGATTTTTATAACTTCAGAATTAAAATAGAAATGCTGGTAAAAGAGGCATACTGTATGTAACAAGAAGCAGTTGAAGAAATTTTTTAAAAAACATTTATTGACAAATGCCTCATTAGGTATTCCCTTGAAAATTCAGTTATCAATAATATATTACACACAATTTACAAACACATGACATTTTCTTGTATTTCAGGAAGAAAGCACAAGTCTAAACTATGAATTTCTTTTTTAAAAGTGAATGACGTTCAAGATCAAGAAGTCTAGTTTCAGTGCTTAGAACAGGAAGTGTATTTTTTAGCATGCCCCTGTAAAGAAAGAGAAAGTAAACTTTAGTCCATGCAAATAAATTTGCAAAGCCTTCCCAGTGCTTTAACAACATTTTTAGTCCTCAGTGAATCTGTAGCTACAACCATCCTAGGGTACTCCAAAACCACAGTACAAGATTAAATCAAGGGGACTGTTTGTATTGTTCCATGCCCGTTAGATAGTTTCGAGTTCTGTTTGCCTTCACCAATCACAAAGCATCATGAGTTTTTAGCTTACTCTAAAACCTAGGCACTCAGCCCACAAACTGGTTACCCTTTCTCTGCTACAGGAAGCAATATAGAGTGCAAGGGACAGGGATCCCTCTACCAGCTCTGTGACCTTACAGGATGCCCATATGTGCTTTGTAGCTGAGAACTGGCTCACACAATGACATGCCATTCAGAGATTTTTAGCAGCTACTTCCTGTCCAACAAGTCCTAATGTATGTGCTAATGAGGCAGTTCCCCCAGTCTAGGTCCTCAAACCTGGTTGAGTTAAGGGCCCATCTCCAGTAAAGTTGGTGTGCATGTAGAGGGAGTGGGAGCCAAGCTGCGATCATGCTACCAAAAAAGTGGAGTTCCTGCCTCCAGGATAACACTAGAAACTTATAATCTCAGGGACAGCAGATGAGATGGAAGATGAGCTTCCATAACTCCAGTCAAAGATACTCTCAAAACAGCTGTGAGACCCGGCAAAATGATCTGTTCATAGAATCATAGAATGGTTTAGGTTGGAAGGGACCTTGAAGATCATTGAGTTCCAACCCCCCTGCCATAGACAGGGACACCTCCCACTAGACCAGGTTGCTCAAAGCCCCATCCAACCTGGCCTTAAACACCTCCAGGGATGGAGCTTCCACAACTTCTCTGGGCAACCTGTTCCAGTGTCTCACCACCCTCAGAGTGAAAGATTTCTTCCCAATATCTAATCTAAATCTACCTTCTTCCAGTTTGAAGCCATTTCCCCTCATCCTATAACTACATGCTCTTGTAAAAAGTCCTTTCCCAGCTCTCCTGTAGGCCCCCTTTAGGTACTGGAAGGCCTGTTGATCTACTTGTATTTCTGCGGAGCAACAGCTCACTCCCACTATCAGACACTGCTTTGAGCAGACACTGCTGCTCAAAGCCCCTCAGTCTGTTGTCTCTGTTACACAGAAAGTCTAGGGATCAAATCATGCTGACAGCTAGGAAGGATGAATGTGTTTCTTATTGAAACTGACTTCTCCTGTAGGGAACAGTGCTCAGAGTGAAGGTAATGCAATGTTATCCAAGTGGCCATGCCAAGCATTTCCAAGTTCATAAACATCTTATTATGTCCAGGGTCTTGTATGTATCTATTACAACACATCAGGAGAGCCTGACAGAACTGGGCTTGTTCAACCTTAAGAAGAGAAGGCTAAGGATGGAGGATTGGAGGGCTGGTCTTATTGCTGTCTACAACTACCTAATAGGAGGATGTAGAGAAGATGACGCTAGACTTCTCACATTTGCACAGACAAGAGCCAATGGACACAAGTTGCAACATGGGAAATTCTGACTCATTATAAGGAAAACCATTTTTCCCCATGAGGGTTGTCAGACACTGAAACAGGGGCCCAGAGAGGTTTTGGGATCTCTATCCTTGGAGATATTCAAACCTTGACAAAACAAGGCCCTGAGCAAACTGCTTTAAGTTAGCCTTACTTTGAGCAGAGGGCTAGACCAAAGACTTCCAGAGGTCCCTTCCCACCTAAATTATTCTGTGATTCTTTTGGGATAACAAAGACACTTTTCCTTTCATAGCATGCTAGCCTCAGAGCACAGGATTGCTATAAGGGAAAAATAAAGGTTGCAGAACCACCCTAAATCTGTCTTGCTTTCCTTTCCACAGACTTTGCTTTGAAGCCACATTCTTATTAAATATGACACCGCAAAAAATGTTTCTAAAAGAGTAAAAATTAGTTTGCAATGGTTCTATTGCATTTACAGCAAGTGCAATTGCCTAGTACTACAAGCTGCCAATGCAGTCACTCCAATGCATTTAAGTAACTGAAAGTACCTGACTGCAGCACAGGCTGGAACTGGCCAGACATACAGATTTCCTCCTGCTTCTGACGCAAAATGCGTTGAATGGCTGGGGGAAGGCCATGAGGGTTGCGTGAGAAGATCAGGGAGTAGCCATCATCACAGGAGCCGTCCTCTTTCAGACTACGGCAGGCATAGGTAATAGCATAGTTGTCATAGTCAGTGTCAATCACCCAGTAATTGTCCCCTGAAACATCAAATCAGATGTGTTTGTCATGGTGGAAAACACAGAGCAAAGGCATGCACGTGCTAGTCTAGCAGATGGAGACTTTACTATCATACATGGCAGGGACATCTTCCCAAAGGACAGAAGGTCACCTCTAATTGTTTAGCTTATGTCTACACTGTGAGGTGAAGAATGGGGCAAACACGGTGTGTCCCGAATCCACCATGTTTCCCATTGTGTTGTTATAGCACATGGCAACTGTACTGAGAAAGTGCCAGTGATGGGTGACTCTTTATGGGCTGAGCTTGGCCCCGTTGCTGTCTGGTCTCTACCACACAGACAAGAGTACAGCCCACACCAAAGCATCAAACATATCCATACTAACTCTATCAGAGAGCTCCAGAGCTTGTATTGAAGCACAGGCCTGAGGGCTACAAGGTGGATGATGGGAAAGTGTGATCTTAAGAACAGGCTCAGTTTCACTGAGAAAATAGAAATAGCCATGAAATTCTTAACACAAAGGCTGGGTATCTCTACAAGATAGACTCTTGTTCAGCCAAGATTTGAACTTAGTGCATTTTCACATTTGGTTTCTGTGACTAAAGGTGTTAGCTGGACCACATCTCTTTGGGTTTTAGATGAAAAATCTCTTTATATTTCCTGTCTAGGTGGGTATATTGAGACAAAGGGCAAGTAGATCATATTTCTTATATGAATAGTCTCAGTAAAAAATGGCTTCTGTTTTCCAGCCTTGTTCTTCAGCTGAGTACATTTTAATATAGTTTATCTGCCAGTACGGAAGGAATGTATTTTGTCATGCACTAACAAGTTGAATCCCAACTGCCCAACTTCCAGAATTAGTCTTTCTGGCAACCCAACAGCTGTGTGGTATTCAGAAAGGAATTGCAGGGTATGAAGGCTGCATAAATGAGGTATGGCACAAGGAATTTCTGTGAGAGGGACCTAAGGTAGTGTTGCAAACTTCTACCATGCCTGCCTGACATGATCAGTGCCTTGTTGATGGGATGAAGATTTGGATTCATGTCATGTCCCACCAGTTATGAAGAATTCAGGGATTCCAGGAAGAATTGCTTCCCTAGGTTCAGCACAGCGCTCAGCTGTACAAAGCCTATTTGCAATGTCAGGTATCTCTAAGCTGTGTCTTCCTTGTTAACTAAACTGGTGGATAGGTAGGATCCCTGGGGAATTTCTGGATCCTACCCCTTCTGAGGAGATAAAAAGCTTTCTGTGGAATTTCTGAATTCTATCCCTTCTGTGGAGATAAAAACCTTGGAAAAAGCTTCCCTCTCCAGGAATTCTTTGTCTCCATTTGCAACAATTTGAGCTCAGCTGTTTTGACTGCTCATATACTGAAATACACAAGTTTGGGCAACCATAAACTATACACTGACCCCAGGGGGATAAAGAAATTCACTCACCACCACTGGACAGGTAGCTAGCCAGACCCTGGTATGTCATATACATTTTTGCTGGAGTGGTTGGGTCAGGTACTGTGTACTGAGCAGCCATATCAGCACAAATCACCCAGAACCTGTAATGACATTTGTTGAAATCCTGCATGATTTCTGAAGAGGCCATTCAGAAATACACAAGTATCATTTGAGTATTCTTCCCACATACATTGTATGCTATATCTGTTCAGCTTCATTTTGCCTTGTCTCAAAATATCCTAGAGTGCTTTGCTATTAAACCTAAGGTTCAGGGCAGCCTGCTTTACTCCATTATTCACCCAGTTAAATATTTTGGTTAGTTAACACTGAATAGCAGCAGAGTTAGTATTAGCCTGTAGAAAGTGTCTGTTTTTCTTCTCTACCTATACCTAGAAGACCACTTAATCTCTTCACATGCTGTAATGCCTTATAGTAGCCATCACCAAGGAACTTCCATCTGTCTGTTCAGGTGTCACAAAAGTATCCAAGAGTTAACTGAGTATTTTCCAAAGAAGTCTAAACAATATAACATTGGAAGATCCACTAATGTAACATTCATTTATACTCATTTCCTTCCTTCAAACCTGCTGAGCTATTCACCTTCTACAGGCTACACTGGCTCCCCTCTTTTTATTCCAGTTTATTTGCTTTACCAGTCTATCATTAAATATTTTACTTTATCATTGAATTGGCAATTATACAACAGTTTTATCATGGGCCTAGACCAGAACTAGACTGAGAACTAACCCAGGACTCAATCACCTTTGGCCTCTAAGGTATTTATTTTATTGAGCTTGTCTTCTTGATAACAGCAACTCAGTCATGTTGTGCACTCAGGAAAAATCAACATTCACATCATCTCTTTAGGATATCATGTCATAAGCTAGAGTTAGAAGTTAGGCACACACTTACCCAAAAAGCTTCACTCGGCCTTTAGAAGATGCTGTCATTGTGCCATCTTCCTCAACACTGTATTCAGCAGAAATATTGTCCTGAAGGAAAAGACCTTCTGGATCCTTCTTGGCTAGGGCATACCATTTCCCTGCATACTGAAATGAAAGATTATTGTTGTGGTAGGTGCCCTTGACTGGATGTCAGGTGCCCACCAAGCCGCTCTATCACTCCCCCTCCTCAACTGGAGAGGGGAGAAAAAATATGACAAAAGGCTCTTGGGTCGAGATAATGACAGGAGAAATCACTCACTAATTACTATCACAGGCAAAACAGATTAGACTGGTGGAAATTAATTTAATTTATTGCAAATCAAATCAGAGTAGGATAATGAGAAATAAAATTAAATCTTAAAACACTTTCCCCCACCCCTCCCTTTTTCCCAGGCTCAACTTCACTCCCGATTTTCTCTACCTCTTCCCCCTGAGCGGCACAGGGGGATGGGGAATAGTCAGTTCATCACGTTGCCTCTGCCATTCCTTCCTCCTCACGCTCTT